GCTGTTTTATTTCTGACCAAGCTTCTGGAATGTTTATCAAGCTTATTGAGAACCCAGAATAAAACCCTGAACCAGGATCACATACCCACAGTAGACACCTAATATACACATCTTTAGCAACCTCTGCCAAGACAGAGCATGAGGAGAACTCCTCTAGCATGTGCTACGGGGACGTGTCTTGTCACAGTTTAGCATACCACAACATCATGTGCCCTGGTATATTAAGAATAAATATGAAAAAAAGAGCTCAGTTTAGCTATAGCTATAAAATTAATATTCCCAAATGGAAAATTAACTGCAGACATATCTAAAACTACATGGGAACAAATTCTCTACTCTGCGTGTGATTGTTCAGTTCACATTGAATTCTTGTTATGTATTTACTTAAATTGCTTCACAAAAGCTTTTAAGTACGCTTACTCTTATATGAATCAGACCTATAATTTAGCGAGAGGTACTGGGGAGGCCTTGCACTTCTTTCTATTCTAACAGATAATTACATTTCTTTTGAGTGACTGAGCCTGCATGAGCCAGATTCTAGAGGCCTGCTGTTTCTATTGACTACATCAGTGTACGGCTCAATAGGACGTTCTGCATGTTTAAAACCGGGCCAGGTCTTGATAGACCAAAACTAAAAGTTTCTTTAATTTTGGCTTTTAAAGCAACAAGAGGCTGTATTTGACCTGTGTCTGAAGGGCAGTCAGATCAAGAGGACTGCACAGGAGACTAGATATTTTAAGTAGTTAACTAGTTTAATTCCTTACTTAGCAAAAGAACTGAGAAATGTACAGATACGCACTAGCTACTGGGTGAGCAGAAACGATGTAAATTACAAAAGGAAGCTTGCTTTTCCTCATACGTGTTTCCAGCATTTCCATGTGCCAAATTTCATTCTCAAATATTCCGAAAAGCAGCAGAGGGAGATGGAAAGAAGATGGAGGGGGAAAGGGAGCCTGCTAGCTACACTCAAGTCTGCAGCTCTGAAATGATTCCATGCCAGACAGTCCTTCCAAATAATGTCAACAAGTGCATCAAACTGGGTGGTGGGGGGGTGCGAGTGTGTATGCATTGTGGGAGGGGCAGAGTCCATGCAGGAGGGCTGCGGGGCAGGATGGAGAGGAAGAGAGGAAAGGAGGGAGGTCTTCTAATCATTAAGATGCTTTTCCAGAGCCCGCAGATTCTCTCTCACCATGGAGTGTAGGAAGCAGCAATGAAGAAATAGATGACCATCCGATCGCACATGTGGAAACAATGTTCCACCGTCCTGGTGGGGGGAAGTCAATAAGTCAGGCAAATTTGTCAGAACTGTCAGACAGGGCTACCACTCTACAAGGTCACCACCTCCATGCTTGTTTCATGTTTTCATGGCACTCGTAGTTTGCCCTTCAAGGCTTCAGCTCTCCCTTTTAATGACAGGGAGCCACAGTAAAAGCTTTATATTTTTAGGCTGTACACACAACAGGCATGAGACAGTGGAGCCCCGAGACACTCAGGTAAGATGAGTCTTTGCTGATGTTTTCCTTTCTTTTGGAAGATGAAATTCTGTGAGGGCAGACCACTGCCTGGGTGGGTGCTATTACAGATCAGGGCTCAGTCCTAGTGCCCAGCTAGAATGCCCCAGCTGAGGGCATATCCTTTCTCTAAATGGTTTTTTGACAATTTTATTACATAGCACATTCTGTCATACTAATTTCTCCATCTCTTACTGGCCCTAACTTCTCTCCCTTCCTTCTACTAGGTCCCTATCCCATTATTCCATTTTCAAGTCTTTTTGTTTTCGCTGAGTTCACATTCTTGTTGTTTTTTTTTTTTCACACATCTCTTTAACTTTAAACATGCCAGGGTGGGCAGTAAGTGGTAATAAGGGAAACATCAGTAATTTAGGGCCAGCAATCACAAGCATAGGTATGGCATATTTGCTATGGAAGGGTAGCCATTGCATTTCTAGATTGGCCCAGAATCAAAGCCAGGAAGTATATATACAAAGATTCAGCTCACTGAGGTCGACTCACAAAACGTCAGGAAGACCTAGTATTTTGTTGAAGTCATATTAAATTAGAAATGCAGGGGGCTGGAGGGATGGTTCAGCAGTTAAGAGTGCATATTGCTCTTCCATGGGATCTGTTCTTCCAAAGGACCTGCATTTGGTTCCCAGGACCCACATCAGACAGCTGACACCCACCTACAACTCCAGCTACAGGGAATCTGATGTTCTCTCTGGCCTCTGTCAGCACACACACATGGCATACATTAACACACAGGTGCATACATACACATAAATAATCTTTTAAGATAAGAATTAATAAATAAAAATATAAATACAGAGGATGGTCTTTATTATTTTGTTTGGAGACAAAGTCTCATGTAGCCCAGGCTGGCCTGGAACTTGTTACGTAGCTAAGGCTGGGCTTGAACTCTTGATCTTCTTGCCCACCCCTCTTGTAGTTCTGGGATTACAGGCATGTGCTATAATGCCCGGCCCCACAACATTATTTCAAGTCTATTTTTGGCTTCTAGGATGTAAAAGTTATCTATTGGGGAGCTTCAGTACTCAACAGAGCCTCACTATACACACCGTTGGGTGAAGCAGACTGACAAGGATGTGAAGAAGCATGGTGCAGAAACTGCAGTTTACTCCCTGGTAATTGAGCTGCAGGTCTAATGCAGCAAATGTCCAATCGAGCTTCACCACCTCTAAGAATCCCCCAGGAATAAAGGTAGTCATGGACTCATGGATGGAAGATTCTACTTTGAAAAGGCTGGGAAAACAGGGTAGAGGAGGAAAGGGAAGAATTTTCATTTCTTGTTCTGAACTCCTGAGATGATTTTGATTCCTAGCAAGGCTTGAGGAGTCTACAATTCTGCTTTCTAGACATGGTTAGGGCAGCTATTCAAACCAGCACCTAGCCATAGTGACACAGGTCTGTGAACTCAGCTACTGGAAGGCTGAAGCAGGATAACATTAAGGCCAAGGTCTACCTGGGATACACGGTGAGTTCAAGACTATCCTGAGTATCAAATGCAATGTGTTCTCAAAATAAAAGGTAAAAAGAGGGCTGGGGACGTGGCTCAATGGCAGAGCACTTGCCCAGCATACATGAAATCCTAAGTCAGTCTCCAGTATCACTTCTCCACAAAACGAAGCGCGCCGCTGGCCATCATTCTGACTCCCACTATCTCACACAGAACACTCAGTGTAGTAAATGTAGGCTATGTTCTCAGCAGAGTACCCAGCACAAACTTGGAAATTGGCACTTTCCTTCTCTCTCCTAATTCTGACTTTGTTGGGCATTTAAAAAATAGTCATTGAGTGCTGAGCAAAAAACAAACAAAAACAAAAAACCCTACGTATGGTTTGTGATTCTAGCAATGCTCTTTCAAGGTTCAAGAGTGTCTTCTTTCTATTGTACCCTCTCCTCTAGCCTCTGCCAAGGAGGCCCCAAATACTGAAGTAGGCATCTACAACTCTTTTATTGATTCAGAAATCTAGACATCAGAGCCAAGACAGCAGAGGCAACCACAAGCATCAGGGCGTGCCAAGAAGATAATGAAGTGCTCTGCCTCCACACGGGCCCCTGGGTCCCGTGACTATGTGTCCCAGGAAGCCAGCACAAGTACTTTTGTGACTCTCCCATGAGTGTGTTCCACAGTGCCCTTGTGGTTCAGTGCTGTGGTTTTCTTTGAATCCTAGGGAACTGTCACTTTATAGGAAACAGTAGCAGAGAGCAAGCTTCATGCAGTATTTTAAAGGACATGCTGAAAAAGGACAGGCAGGGTGAGAGTCTTCTCCCCACGCCTGCCTCCTTGCTAGTACTGGGTTTTGTTGCTTGCTTTGTTTTGTGGAGACAAGAGTCTCTCACTCTGTAACTCACTGGGACTCACTATGTAATCCAGACTGGCCTCAACCACATGACATTCCTCATGTACCGAAGTCCTGAGTGCCACTGTGTCAGGGGAGACTTTTTTTTGACAGTTTATGAAACCAAAGGTCTTTTCTTACATTTCTGTTTCGAAGCCCAGCCTCATTTGCATAGCTCAAACTGGCCCCAAACTACTGATCTTCCGACTTCTGCTTCCTTCATGCTAGGACTACGGGCGTGTGCCATGCCCAGCTCAGTTTCACGATCCTCTGAATCACCTGTCAACTGCTCCAAGTCTTGTATTCTTCTGAAAATTGTTTTCCTCTTTGGAGCTTGATCTACTCAAGCATCGAAGGTTTTATTTGGTAAGCGCTCATTTTCACATGCTCTGGCCTCCAGTCTAATACTAACAAATACAAACACTTTGACCTTCTTATTGGTAGGCCAAGGACCATGATACAGTCTGGAAAGTACCTCCCAGTTAATCTTCACTACCATGTATCTCCTGGTTACCATGTCCTACATTTGTCAACTTATTTTCATATTTATCACCTTATTCACTTTATTGCATCATAATAACCTTAGTTATTAGTTATCTTTAGTTTCATAATGAAGAAACTGGGGCTCTTTGGGTGAGGTGGAATTACTTACTCAAGGTTAAATTCAGGAGGACTGGAGTGCAAAGTTCAGTGTCCTTGCCAGGCCACAGCTGTGGCTGTCCTAGCATTTCTGGTGTGCGTGAGAGAACCAGAAACTAACTCTCAGGGTTTTAGCTGTAAGACCTAGAAAGCCAGCTAGGTTACTGCTTTCTTAGACACAAACAAGGCATCTGGGTCTTCAAAACTCTGTCCAACCCAAAGAGAATGCCTAGAATTAAGGGACAGCTCAAAGCCTACAGGAGAGGAAAAGGTTCTCTCTTCACCCTCCCAACTAAACTGTAGTAGCCTGGGACTTGAGAACGCGTTGAGTCAACTGCGTTGACGTAGACCAGAAGTGCACCGCCCCACATACCTTAAGTGGCTCTTTTTCCATGATACTATGTGAAACACTGTGGAAACGATGAAGAGGGCACAGAGGCCCATCCCGTAAATCCATGCTGTTATCTTTTCCCAGCAGTCGTCAGACAGCCGATGGAGGAGGGCACTGCCCACAATGGCTGGAACAATGAGGAACTGGGAGGAAGGGAAAGAGAAATAAATGAATAACTTGACGTCTACAGGATCAAGACTTCCGCTTAAAAAATGCAGAGGTTTGCCAATTCTTATGTTTCAAGGAAACATTCATCTCCCTTGGATAATCAAAACGAGAGGTAGGTGAAGTTGTTGCTGCACTGGAAGCAGGTGTTCCTGCTCCGGGGAACTGGGCCAACCAATGAGTGCACCAAGACACAACATTGCCCAACTGTTGCAAAATAGTTGTTCTTTATCCTAATTTCATTAAACAAGAGAGGTCCTGATTTCCAAACATTCCATCCTGGCTGCAATCTCACTATTTAAGTAAAGGATACATGAGTGAATTAAGTCTATATTATATTACATTACATTATATTGTATAAAACACCACACACACACACACACACACACACACAGCCAAATCAACTGTTTAATTAAAATGTCCTGGTTTTTACTTTTAACTTATTCATTTTTATCTATTTGAGAGTACCTGCAGAACAAAGGGGTTGGGGGGGGACTTTCATCGCTTTAAATAGTACATGATGAATAATCCATCCCTGAAGCCCAAAGTTTGAGGAAACCAGAATCTAAGAATTCTGACTGCCATTCCTTCTCCCTGCCTCCCTTCCACCCTCCCTCCCTCCCTCTCCTTCTCTCGCTCCCCCTCTCTCCTTTCTAAGCACTAAGTTGGTAAGGGCTACTTTGAGTTCTCCCTTCTCTGCCTCCTAAGTGATGCCACAATGGTCAGTTTCTGTGTTATATCTTACACCCTAGACCCAAATTTCAACATCAGATGCCAGTTTTCATTGGTCCAGGACAAGACAAGAGCAGGGAGAGTAATAGTGTAGTGGTTTTTCATAAAGAAAAACTTATCTGGAAAAAATATCCTTAGAGATTATATCCCTTTTACTCTTGTTGTGTGAAGGCATCCCCTCTGTTTATATTTGTTTGTGGTACTGTTGTGTTTTGAGACAGGCTGGCACAATCCTTACTAGGCCTCCAAATTGTTAGCATGTATCACCACACCCAATAATACCTTCCCTTTAAAGAACTGGTAGCCATAGATACTTTCTGTCTTTATAAATATCTTGGGTCTATAATACTCCTGAATATGCATATACTTAACTAGATCACTGTTCTAAAATATTAGCATGAAGCTTTTTTTTTTCCTCCCCATTCTGTAACTTGTGGCTATTCAGGTCCATCCTACACAAATGTTATTTCTGAAGGTAGGCTGTGTATCTGAACACCCAAACCACTGCACTGGCCCAACCCCATCTGTAATGTAAGCCTTGTCTAAATACTCATCACTGAAGGGACAAGTTCATCACCTTGCCTACTTCTTGCTTTCAGAATATCTCAGTCACAGTTTCTCTCCCAAGGTCTCACAGCATGAAATTTCCAAACAGAATAGTAAAACCAAAGGTAAAGGAAATGCATAATGACAGGAAATGGCCACTATGAAGGTGAAAAGATTTAGCCTGTCCCTGTCTCAGAGAATCATTTGGTGAAACAAAACAAAAAACCCAAACAATGTCCGGGTGGTGGAGGCACACGCCTTTAATGCCAGCACTTGGGAGGCAGAGGCAGGCGGATCACTGTGAGTTCAAGGCCAATCTGGTCTACAGAGTGAGTTCCAGGACAGGCTCCAAAACTACAGAGACACCCTGTCGTGAAAAGCAAACAAACAAACAAAAAAAAACAACAACCCCAACCAACAACAAACCCTCTCCTTTTTCAACAAACCATTACTTGCCCTTGCCAAATCAGCCCAGTAGCTAGTTTCTTTCAAGGCGCCATAGCATCCATAAGAAAGCGGCCCATTGTCCCTTCACTAGGCTACTGCCTTCCTCCTCTTCTTTTGAAGATGTATTGAGGCACACAAGTCCAGGAGAACATGGGCTACAGGTTAGAGTGTCCAGAGCACTCTCCATGCTCACAACTTTCAGACTGTGGTGGCATAACCCAGCACTGACATTCAGGTACTTAAAGTCACAAGGCTGAGCAGTTCTAATCACTTGTGTTGAAGTTACTAGAGAAGCCTTTTGTCCCACCAGAGGCCCGTGTAAAGGACAGTGACAGAGAAGTTTGTACTCACGGCATGTGTGTAGCAATTAGCAGCATGTTCGTAGCAAGTTGGTTTGTAGCGGCCATTGGCTGGGGCCCGATGGTTCATGAAACTATGGAAACAGAGAAGCCATCACATGAGACACACTCGGACCCGACCATGCTGGAAGCCTGCAGTGGTCATTCAGTCTCTTCTAAATGAAGAGGTTGCTGTTATCAACAAGAAAACCAAAGCCATTAAAAGGTGTCAACTTGGCCCACAGCATTGAATCTAAAGTAAACACCTAGTTTATTTGATGAAACAGCCCTTGAGTTTGCTCAATAGATAAACCTTGTGCCAAGCAAAAGCAAACAGAAACCACATCAAACTCAGCTGTGCACCCCCAAATCAAAGGGGTGGTGCACAACCAAGTTTTAAATCTTAAAGGAAAGATTTCTGTCCCACCCCAACCCCCCGACTTTTAGTTATTTCATTAAACAAAAGGGTACACACGGCATTTGAAAGGTTTCTGCTTTCTCACTCGGGACACGCAGGGCTTTCTGTATGCAGATCTGTACAGCCTGCATCCCACATTAGAGGGCCTGCCAGACTAGTTCTCCTGTATTGTATGACCTGTTCTGGCACCAGGCAGCTTATTTGATACCTGGCTAAGTCCAGGCCACCTAAACAAGGAGGCCCATTTTCACCTCCATTCTCCCCAAGTGAAAAGAGTTTGCCTCAAACACTGCATACATTATTAGTACTTGACACTGTGGCTTTAAAACACATACACGCAGCCTGGCACAGTTGCACGGATGCTCATGGCCCAGGCTTCCCTTCAAGCTAACCTTACCATAATCAGCAGAAGGGTGAAAACATGCATTCCAGAAGACTGCCGCTCTATTCTAGCAACAGGGCGAGGAGAACTCTCCAAACCTCACCCCACATCCATGCCAGGCTGATGTCTGCATCATTCTGACTATTCTCTGGAGGTTACCTCTCTCTCTCTCTCTCTCTCTCTCTCTCTCTCTCTCTCTCTCTCTCTCTCTCTCTCTCTCTCTCTCTCTCTCTCACACACACACACACACACACGGCAGGGGGTGGATTGAATAAAAGAGCAAAGGAGTAGGTACAGAGAAACAAATGGGTAAAGGCCTTGACAGCTTTGAAATCCCAGGGCTCATTGGTAGCGCACGCCTTTAATCCCAGCACTCAGGAGGCAGAGGCAGGCGGATCTCTGTGAGTTCGAGGCCAGCCTGGCCTACAAAGTGAGTTCTAGGACAGCCTCCAAAGCTACAGAGAAACCCTGTCTTGAAAAACAAACAAACAAACAAAAAAGAAATCCTAGGGCTCCACCTGTCAGCATGTTCAGTAATCCCCGAAAAGAAACCCAAAATCAAACCAAATAAACAAAACAAACAAAAACCAAAGCAATACAGATAGTCTGGAGGTCATTTTTGTTTGTTTGTTTGCCAGTATCTTTTTTTTTTTTTTTGGTTTTTCAAGACAGGGTTTCTCTGTATTGTTTTGGAGACTGTCCTGGAACTCGCTTTGTAGACCAGGCTGGCCTCGAACTCACAGAGATCCGCCTGCCTCTGCCTCCGAGTGCTGGGATTAAAGGCGTGCACCACCAACACCCGGCTGTTTGCCAATATCTAATCTGGCCGATCTTTAAACTATTTTTTTCAAACAAAAGACAAATATTTTCCATCCTCCCATTAGAAGGAACCTGGTTTCCTCAGATCAACCAATGAAAGACACAACAGATAGTTCCTAAAAAGTCCATACCCAGTACAGGCTGGACACAGGATGGTAAAAATGTTTTACTTAGACTAGAAACTTCGCTAGACACTAAATGAACTGAGTGTATCCACTGGCCAGCTTGAAGAACAAATGACCTACCTAATAGCTTCAGAATTTATCCAAGCTACTCGGATGTCGATGCCTCAGCCTACTCTCCTTTCCCCTGGCAATCCCCTAAATTATATCACTCATTTCCTATGGGGCGAGAGAGCTGCAAAAAGAAAAATAATTACACCCTGGGGAGGAATGCTTCCATACTGCCCCAAGCACCTGAGGAGCCACCAGATCCTCACCCTGCGAGGAGGAAACAACTGAGCTCCGAGGCTCACACCCTACTAGGAACTTCAGAGGGTGGAGGCCGAGCTTCCAAAATGGTTGAGGTTGGATGAAATGGAAAGTGCTCCATGTAGGGTGAAGTAGGAGTTGTCTACACACCACCAGGCTGAGGACTAAAATAGCAACTTGTATCTCAAGCAGCTCCAGTCTAAAAATAGTCAGACCATTACACAGTGTGAGGGATAAACTTTCACATTTTCTCCTGCAAGCGAAGAAGCTGCATGACATGACCAGGTCTCCTCGTCTCTGCTTGACTGAAACAATTCAGGTTAAAAGTGAAGTGGGAGGGAGGGGAGATGGCTTAGTAGGTAAAGTATTTGCTATGCAAGCATGGAGACGTGTTCAATCCCCAGTATGCATATTTAAAAGAAAAGAAAAGCCAGCATAGAAACAAGCATAGGTTCATGCACCTGCAGTCCCAATGTTATGGAGATTGAGACAGGCAAATTCCTTTCACTGGTCACTTAGCCTAGGTTACTTGGTAAGCTCCAGATTCAGTGAGCTACTCAGTCTCAAAAATTACTGAAGTGATTGAAGAGGATACCTGTTGCTGGCCCCTGGCCTCCATGGCATGCATACAGTACACATGTGCACATGAACACACAGATACACATCTGTGCATACACATGCAGAGGACAAAGAGAGAGGCAGGGGGTGGAGGGGAGAAGCTAGAGAGAAAGAGATTCCTCTGTTGTGGCTAATGTACCATGTCCTGGTGGATGGATGAGTTTTATACTATAAACAAAGGGGAAAAGCAACTGTCCTGGGAGCATTTTACTGTCCGGGGCTCAGGGAGAAAAGACAGCACAATTGTTCTGCTGGGAAACAATAATGCAAATTTTCAATTCCTCTCAATCTGCCAGAGTGCAATCAAGCCGCCGCCTCCAAGTTTCTGAAGAAACCATTCCTGAGGCCTAAATGGAAAAGCAGATGCAAAATGCAAGTAAACTCCTACACCTCGAGCCTACTCTCTCCAACCCCCAAAAGAATGAGAAAGGTTTACATATGAGAGAAAAGGGAGCCCCAGCTATGGAAGCCATCTCTACCTAATGAGAATGCAACGGTACTCAGTGCCCTGGGCAGTGGAGCCAGCATGCAGGGGTGCCCAACCTCCTGACACTGTGACATGATACTGTCACCCACAGATCTCTTAGGCCTCATTCACAGCTGTCCTGAAACATATGTGGGTCACAGACTGACACACCTGCAGGGCTCTTGCTTTAGTTCTGAGCGGTAACCACATTTAACAAGACCAAGAGTGAAGCAGGCTTAGTCACTTCCTTTTCCAGTATTCTCTTTTGCCTCTGGCTTTTGGGTTATTCTCACATGTCTTTCCCCCCACAGCAGAATTCCACAGCTATGGAGGGAAAGAACAGTTCGTCACCGACCTTTACACGTCATTAGCACACTAAATCCAGACCCAAGCACTGAGCTCTGCAGGACAGCAACTCCTCCGGCAGAACTCATAGGCTTAAGACCAAACCCAAGCTGAGTCTCCTGTGCTCTCCACTCCCTGAGTCCAAATATTGTCAACAGTTCTTTCAAAGTATATTCCAAATCAGCTCACCACTGCAACTCCACAGTACCCAACAGAAAACAAAGCCAGCATGCAACATCTCTGTGAAATGGTAGTCTCATAACTGACCTTGTTGCCTGTCAACAAGACTCTTCTTCCTTTGGCAGCCATAACTCTCTATTAAGAACAGATCATAGCGTGCACCTCTACTTAAAGCTATCTTTTAGCTTCCCCCAATGCTTAGGGTGACACTTCAATGCAACCCTGACCCACAAGCCTGGATAGCTACTCCCACTTTCTTGTCTTATCCGCTTGAGGGCACTGGCTCTTTATTTCTCCTTAGAACATACACTTGCTTCTCTTCCTTTGAGCTAACTCATGTCACTTGCTAAGAGAATTTCCAGACATCACCAGTACCACCGTGGCCTTTCCACCCAAGCAGAGAGCATACCATTACAGTAAGAATTTGGTTCCTAAACATTTTTTAATTCCATCTTTTCACACAAAGACAAATCTACGAAAGTGGTCTTCACTATTTTATTTCCAGTTTCAAGCACAAAGCTCATCTTTTGCTGAAGCTTAATAATTGTTGAATGGATGGATACAAACACAGTCCTCCCAGCTACAGAGATAACCCATAGTCAATTTGGTTTTAGTGGAGATGCCACAGGTTCTAAACAGAAGGGCAACAGGCAGCCACAGAGCCAAAAGAACCCTGAGCCTTATGAACAGAAAACTCAAAGGCCAACACAATGGATTCCTCAAGGCCACTTCAACACCACTGGATGTTGCAACTTTAATTGACCGTATGCATAGAACCCTGTACCATGCCAGCTTCCTCCTAGGCCTGAACATGGCATTTGCTCAGACAGTGCCACCGTCAGTGATGGCACCCTTGGCCATCACTAAAGGGAGAAGGAAGATAGAAGACCCCCATTCTAGCCGGGCATTGGTGGCGCACGCCTTTAATCCCAGCACTCGGGAGGCAGAGGCAGGCGGATCTCTGTGAGTTCGAGGCCAACCTGGTCTACAGAGTGAGTTCCAGGACAGTCTCCAAAATAATACAGAGAAACCCTGTCTCGAAAAAACCAAAAAAAAAAAGAAGACCCCCATTCTGTGGCTCAATGCTCTAAGAACCGGTCCAAAAGGACATCAGACATGCTTTAGGTTTTGAAGGAGATGCTTTTCCATGCGCTCAATCTAAAATCATCAGTAGGGCAGTCACAGCTAGGACTGAGAAAGCACGATCCTTTTCCAGTGAGGAGACAGAAAGGGTGAACAAACGGTGGCTGCAGAGATAAAACTGAACTCCGAGGTCTACCTCTGCCGACCTGTACCACTCTGGGCAAGAATTGTGTTACTCTCTAAACCTTTCTGCTTTTCCATGGCTTGTAAGTTGAAATTTATGCAAGTACCCAGTCAGTCACTGGCACATACAAACAGGCAGGAACTGAATGGTAATAGTTATTATCATGCCAGTGATGTTAGAGAACTCTGTGTGTGTGTGTGTGTGTGTGTGTGTGTGTGTGTGTGTGTGTGTGTGTGTGCAGGCACATGCTTAGGTGTCTGGAGAGACTAGGTTGAAAGGAATAAAGCAAGGCACAAAATATGCTGCATCCCAGAGGAATTTTTTCACATCCTAAGTTGTTACCTTACAATCTTCCTCCATATAAATGGCAGAAGTCTGGAAGAAGACCCAAAGCCACAGTAACCGCTGAGTTTCCACTTTGAGTGGATCTGCAAGGTGTTCTTGTATTTAGGCACAGCATAAACTATGGTCTAATGAACTGTTCCTCAGCGGAGTCCCAACACATCCATCAGGAAAAAGAACACACTGTGCAAAGACAGCGCGTCAGTCTCCCCGCTCCCACAGCCCCCATGTACTTTAGCCGCATGCAGCCGTGGTGGACGCCCACCAAGATGTTTAGTGGACACAAAGATGTGTGGAATACTACTTCCAACATTTTAATGTGTGCGTCACAATCATCAGGACTCTTCTAACATCGCTTCGTATTCACAGGCTTATTTTCAAGTCAAATTGATGCTTATAAATAGCCTTCCAATCTAGACTATACTAGAAAAGCAGGTAATGAAGGGATTACTTTCGTCAATCAAAATCAAAGGAGACCTAGGGATCATCAAGAAAGACACAGCCAATATTTGTGGAGTACAATAACATGTAACCACTCAAAAAATTACATTTTATGATACTCCAAAAGATAATCCCTGTGTTTTCTAATTTTTGAATAGGTAAAAGATTCCAAAATAGGATGAGAGCAAATTCAGCCCATCAAAGAGATTGCTCAATCAGCTGAAGTGGTTTTTATTTTTCCATTATAGAGCTCTTTGAGTGTTGGTGCAACAAACAAAACCAGACACTTTCCTTCTTTTTACAGACGTATTCAAAGGGACAGAAAAGAAATACAAACTCTTCATCAAAAAGGGAAGGGGTAATTTTTCAGAACATAGTCACTGTTCTCTGAAAGCAGGAAGCCCACAGACATGCAGAGAAAACCAAACCAAACAAACCACACATACAGGGCATGAGGAGGTTCACACACATTACAGTCTCTTAAATTCATGAGGTTCTAAGTGAGACCAAGTCCCTTTTGCCTTTGGCAGGGATACGGAGTTCCCCTCCAAGAATAGTGTCAGGCATTCAGCCACCAAGTAACAAGCAATATTCAGAAGGCAATCCAAATCTTCAAGCTGATCCCCCTCTACTGATGTCAAAGACCACACTCATCCTTTGTATACATACTGGCTCCTTCACACTTTGGGGCTGGGGAGGAATGAGATAAGCATTATTAATGGAAGAAATGACCAGATAGGAAAACTAAATTGTGGATTTACATTTTGAAATAAAAAAAAGACTACTTCAAACTCAGTCTGTGTGGATGATTTCACACATTTCTGCTTTTGGATTCCCTGGCACCTCACAGTAAGCTAGCCTGTTGGTGGTGAAGGGCTGGGAACGGGTATGGCTGCCAGGCTCAGACAAAGGGATGGAGAGTTACCAGAAACCCGACGGGTGAACTTTCACCCACTTAAAAGAAACAGAAAAGCCCACAGCTTTCTTTGGAAACAATAGGCCAGAGCCTACATCTCATCATTCCGTCGGGACAGGTACACACAGAGAAGGGCCACCGTGTCCCTCTAGTTCGGGCGGCCCCCCCACCTCTCCAGTGTAGAGCAGCCGACCCACCTTCCGGTGGCGCCTCCTTTCTCCCCATTTCCTAAAAATAGGCGTCTCAAAGGCAAGTCTCTCCACCTGAATGATAACTTACCCCTGCCCAAAGCCCCCAAAGCACCCTATTGGGCTCTTAGTCTGAGAACCCCTAGACCTGACACCATCAGGCAAAGCTGGACGCAGGGAAGCTTGCCTCAGTTTCCCTCTATACAGACAAAACGCCTAAAACGTTCAGGCCAGACTCCCTACCGCACTGTAAGACAAATATCGCCACAGGGTGTGGGAGCAGCCCCAAGAGACCTCACACTGGGGTTTGTACAAGGATGTTTGCATACGGCCCTGAGTGGGCTCGAGGGGCTCTGGAGCTGGGGTAAGGCACTTGGAGCTAGCAGAAGCCGTGTCTGGATGGGGAGCGCAAGGGCCAAGCTGGGCGTGCAAGCCGATGGAGCAGGCAAGGAAGACGCGGAGTCCCGGGGCACAGATCTCGAGCGGCTTGGAGGAAGGGGATCGCGGGATTGAGGGTCTCCCCGGGAGCTGGTCCCGGCCAGGGTTCGGGATTCCCCGGGATGGAGCACGCGCCCTGCAGCGCTCTCACCGCTGGAATCGATTCCTGAACCGCATTGATCCTCCGCTCCTCCGCCGGGGCCGGGAGCTCCGTCTCGTCTGCACCGGCGGCGGGGCGCGCGGGCCTCATGGGTTTGAGATGCTCCCGAGGCCGCCGGCGTGCCAGGCGGGAGCGGCGCAGCTGGGCAGGGCCGGAGTGGGCCACGCCGGGGGTCAGCACAGGGCCGGAGCCAGAGCAGGCGGCTGGGGGCGGGAGGGAGGCCGCTTAAACGGCCCGGGAACCTCCCGCCTCCCGCCTCCCCGGCTCCTCCGCCCCCGGGTGCCCACGCCCCGCCCCGGAGCCCGGCTCCGCCTCTCACCCGCCCCGCCCGCTGCGTGCGCCCGCCGCCGCCTGCGCGTCACCGCGCCCAGTGGCCAATCAATACCCGGAGCGGCAAGCGGCTCCGCTGCCATTCATTTCCCCTGAAGCTCGGAAGGTGGGGCGGAACCTCAGGGAGGAGGGGCGTGGTTAGCGGAAAGGGGAGGAGCGCTGGGAGGGCGGTGCTCTGCATTAAGGCTTTGAGCCGTGCGAGCTGAAACCGAGAGGAAGAAACATTGTGTAGGACATGGCCCGGTGATCTTAAAAGCAGCTGTGCAGGAAGTGGCAGCGAGCAAGGACCTCTCTCTCTGCCTTCTAAACCTGGCCCCGTGCCGTTCATTCATCCTTCATGCAGTTC